TTAACTGAGGACTGCTTGCTCATGTGTAGGTCGTACCAAGTGCTTCAAAATGCCAAGATTAACACTTCCCACATCTTGCTGGCATTGCCTCCTCTCTGTCCATCTCCTCGGCCCAATTTAAAAATAAATACAGAAAACAGTGGTGGTGTTCAGGCTGGTTCTCATTCGCTTGACCTTCATCCGTGGAAGCATTGCCCTGTGGAGGCAGTGGGTGCAAAGTGTTCTTTCTGAGGCAAAATCTGACTTTGCGAGTGGGATATGAGAAAGGACGTGCTTGGTGAAGAGAAAGAAATGAGTTCAAACCAGTGGGATTTGGTCAGCTTCCTGGAGATGAGCTGGATGGTGAGAATGGCAGTGAGGACTTTCTTTCCCTGCCACGTTCCAGTCTGTGCTCAAATGGTTGGCGTTTTTGCTGCAGGGCATCAAGAATTTGTAGGCTGAGCACTTCTCCTGCAACAGTAAGGGCTGTATCAGGGTGGCAGAGCGTACTTCATGGTACGCCACGCTCCCAAACAGAAGCACACCGCGTTCCTTAGAGGAAATGTTTCATGTAATATTTCCTGTGTGGACATCCCCAGAGGCTGTAGCAGCAATAAGTCGGAGGAAGCCTTCCGTACAAGGTTACTCTTATTTGTTGAACGAGTACAATTGTAAAATGCCATTTCTAAGTCTGAGAGAAGTCCTGGAAGCAGGCCATAGAGCCCGGATGTCTGGGAAAGGTGGAGGTGGAAAAGAAGATGAGCAAAGCTCTCTGATGCCAGACTGACCCATTTCTATCTTTCAGAAGGCCCTGAGGAGTGCAGGAGGGTGCATGCACAGGAGCAGGGCTGTGCTGGGTGCTGGCTGAGGCAGCGGCATGGCATTATGCTCTGGGCCTGGCTGCTTGCTTGCTGGCCCAGGGCGGGGGCTGCTGGAGAGGGGTTGTCTCATCCTTATGGCCCCAGTTCTCACATTTTGAGTCTGAGCTACAATTCCAGAGCCAGCTTTGGTATAGAGACCTGAAATGGCCTTGTCTGTGCTTAGAGCCTTGCAGTGGTTTGTAAATGAAGGACTTCCCTTGCAGAACTTGTTTCAGTAGCTGAAGTTCGATAAGGTTGCCCTCAGCCAGTTCTAGAACATCTGGGGAGTTTCTGGAGGGTTCCTGTAGTCCTACCCCAGGCTGAAGCTCAGCCCCTCGGTGAGGATGTTGGTTCCCTGTGGAACTGAGAAAAGGACAAGAATGCTGAGAAAGAGAGGAATGAGAGTAAAAGAGAAGTGTGAGGAGCAGCCCTGTGAGCCCTTTGGTAACCTACACCTTAGATTTCTGCTCATTACACCATTTTCACTCTGTCTACTCTGGCTTGCAAAAACTCACTGGTTTTTGCAAGGAGTGAGCAAAGTGTGAGGGCAGGACCTGATGACTTAGAATAGAATAGAAGCACCACTTGAGAGATATTGGAATGTCACAGGCTGAATATAAAAGGAAAGGATCAAGAAAGGGAGCCCTTCAGCTCTTCTGGGGCGGTTGAATGGGGCAGGTGTGATAGCTCAGGGAAGCTTGCAGCAATTTTTGTTGCTGATATGCAGGCTGGGAGGTTTACTGAGCTGTCACGGTTGTTCTTTTTTTGGTGCTGTGACAGTGGGGAGAGAGAAATAGCAGCTGGGAAGGTGAGCTGCTTCACCTGTGGCTTGGGGCAGCTTCTGCAGAAGGAGGCCCCTTGTTGGTGAGTGATGCAGCTGGTGCTTGCAAATGTACCTTTTTAATTTCTCAGCATGTGAATTTGTTACACAGACAAGGCTCTATTTCACAGAAGCTCTGTACATGACGGTTAATGGCACCTCCAGGTAATGACTTAGCAGCATGTTTTACTTATGTTTTAGGTAGTCACCTTTTAATCTTTTGCTTTCTTTTTTTTGATAACCCTTCTCTGACTGCAGTCAGCCTTTGGAGACTCAGTACTCTGTCCTTTCATTTGCTAATTGCACAACACACAGCTCTGACAGGTTGCTCCCTCTTTTCCTGCTGGAGCATACTTGCTGCCCCCTAAAAGGCTGATTTTTCCAGTTTCAACTGTGATTAACTTTGTTGCTGGTGTAGATTTGAACTAACTAGTCAGACCTCTAGAAATGCTGGTGTTTTACTTTCAGACTGTCTGATGTAGGCCCTGACAAGACAGGAGAGAAAGTGTTATTCTAGACAAAGGGCTGCTGGTGGGTTTTTATTTTGGTGGTTATTGTTGTTTTTAACTCTTGCTCTATTGATCATTCTGGGAGTGAAGCTGCCGTGTAACCCTGAGCCTCCTACCAACACTAAGACAGGAGAGGAAGAACTGAATGGATGCAAGAAGTGAATTCCTGCTCGTGCTGTGTTTGGGTGCACAATGTCATGAAGTTACTTAGAGCTCCTCATTTCAGTATTGGGTGGTTTTCAGACCCAGAGTACCCCTTGCTTTGGAAGTCTCAGCTGAAACCTCGCTGTGGTTATTCCACACTTCGAAGCAGTGAGCTGTTGATGGTCTGCAGATGGTGAGACCAAGGAGACCAAGTCAGCCAAGCTTGAAACAAGTTACTCTTTACCACCCTGTGCTTACTTTGATCCAAAACTTCAACCTTCTGTCACAGTTGCTGTTGAATTGCAAACATAGGATGAAAGGTTCTGGCATTTTTGTCCAACCCTGTTTGAAAATGGTAGCTGCCCCTCAAGAATAAAAATGATCACTTATTCCTTAAGCACGCCCAGATCTGGGATGACAGGAGATGATGTTTAGGTCTCTGCTGAGTTTGTGTTCATTTGTTTCTCTTTTTTGCTCTAACCAGTGGAGTCTGTTTCCCTAGTTGGAAAATTTCTGACAGCAGCATCATAAGGCACAATTCAGATCTGCTGCAGTGAGAGATAGGAATAGTTTAACCAGTATCTCCTTGTCTAAAACGTTGTGCTGGTTACTGCTGTGTGCTTGTGAAAGAAATGGTCCGAGACATTAAGCCTGGGGATGCCTCAGCCTTTTCATTAGTCAGCTGACGTGCCCTGTTTTTCAACCCATTTTGCCTTTTCCCGTTCTTGCCTGTATTGTGTAAAGGCAGGGAGACTAAAGATTATGCCTGTCAAATGCTCATGACCTTAAGGTAAATTCGTTGCAGATGCTAGCTGATAATATCTTTCAGTTATATAGCTATTTTGTGGTGAGATAAAACTGGATTTGGTGCATTTGAGGATTGTCTGAGAGCAGCTAATAAAATGTATGGGCTGCTGTGCAAATGGGGTAGGAAGACAGGCTCCTAGTGAGCAGTATTTCAGAAATAATGGTTGCTGCTATGCAAAAGGGAGAAGGAGAGCAGTGAGAAGCAGCTCTGCCACATGATTGGGTGAAATAAATATGAAAATGGGCCTCTGAGAAAGTGTTTACACAGACCATTCCATGTCCCACTTACTGTTATATCTGGTGTGATTTTTTTTTTTTGGTAGAAGAATAACAATTGAAATTAAGGATTCAAATAGGAAAAGGTCTGTTGGTTGTGGGGCTTTTTGTTTGAATTTACAGATGTTTCCCCTTCTCAGGTACCACTTGATTCTGAGTTCTAGCTCAAAACTGACTTCACAGTGTAATAGTGATGCCAAGACAGTACCTTGACTTGCCTGGAATGCACGCCTGCATGCGTGGTTAGTTTGTTTTTTTCATATTTAAAACATCATTTTTCATGTTGGGTAGATTTCTGGTTGCTTTGTAGTTGCGTAGGAGTGTTTATCAGTTCAGAAAACTTGTTCTCAAATGTCAGAAGGCAAATTTATGTTTTGGTTCCCAATGTACAGGTGTTTTACATATGTTACATTTTCCAAGTGTTACGTTTTCAAAACGTGCAGTTTCCCACTTGTGTGCAGTTGCAGCTGTTTAAAGCTGAGCTCTCCTTTGCTGTTAACTACTTTACTCAATTGTGGGAAGCTGAAAATGCAGTTGCAGCATCAAGCAAAATTGAAAATGACTTCAGTGATTTTCATTGTCAAGACTGAATGGAGAAATAGAGCAAGTTTCCAGAGCTGTCAGAGCATCGACCTCCTGGGCACAGGCCCCGACTGTAAGACTGATGTAGCTGTGGGACTATCCTGGATTTGTGGAGCAAGCTTCAGAAGAAAAGCGTAGTAGTAAAGATAGTTGAAGGCGTAGTAGTAAAGATAGTTGAAATAAGTTATTGAAAGTAGCTTCATAAATAATCAACAGCATGGGGTTTGTTTGCAGGCTTCCATCAGAAATTTTCTTGAAACAAACCCTATCTGTGGGCTGCATTCATAGAAATGCAGACTTGGCAGCTGAATTTTTGGTGATCGTTGACTGTGTACCACTGTGGGCAGATAGAGCTCAGCAGCAGCTCTCATTCTTTTCTGTAGCGCAGCTCCTGCTTGCCAGAATTGTAATTTTACTGGGTGGATGTGCTGGTTCATGTGTAGCTTATCTAAAATAACATCTTAGCAGACAGATCTTAAATAGACTTTAAATTGGTCTGATTGCCTGTTTTTATGAACGAATTAGTCTCTTACCAAGGCTGAAGGATGTAAGAGCCATTCATGCACTTTTTTTCCATTAGACTTGCTCCTTTTATAACTCAGTATCAGGTTTTTTGTTTTTGCCTCAGACAATTTGTTCTATGCCCATGTGTGTTTATATTTTACTACTTGTATCTTAGTTTGGTTTCCCCCTCTGTAAGGAGGAGGGAAAAAGTAGTTCAGCAGAGAGAACAACTAAAGAGAATGAACCTCTTAATCGAGAACTCCCTAATTCTTCACCACTTTACACTCGGAGCACTGAGAGTGAAGCGCATAGAGGTGAGGCTGGCCGAGGGGAGAGCCGTGCTGGGAGGCAGATGGCAGAGCTGGGGCTGTTCCCGCAGGTGCTCCGGGCTGCTGGTGGCTAGGAGGAAATGCCCAGCGCAGGCATTAGGGTGGGGGGGGCAGGAGGCGGCCGTGGGCTGTGATGCTGTCAGGCAGCGCGACTCAACATTTGTCCTTTTGCTGTGCTTGTGTTTTCTAGGTGCATCAGAGGCTTTCTCCTTGGCAGAGTGTGAGAGTGGTCTATTGCAGTACGGTAGTGCCCTCTGATGGTGAGTGACGCAGAGAAACTCCGGGCTCGCTTTTGGCTGAAGCCATGTTGCTGACCCCCTTTCTGGTTGAGTCTTTGCTGACTAGGAGGTAATCCCATTTTTGAACTGAGAAAGTGACAGGACAAAGTCAGACAAGAAGAATCAAGGAAGCAGTCAACTTCTCTATTGGCTGCCCTTATAGAACTGGACAGGCTTTACAGTGAAGGATCTTATATTGCATTTAATTGTCCAAAGCTTTCGTCAGGCATCTTCCTGATGTGTGGCCTTGAGGTCCATGTTTCAAGATACCGTGTGCCTTGTTAACTTGTGTGTAATGAAAATGCACTTCATCCCAGGCATTTGAGTGGTTGAAAGCACTCTGTCTGCTGCGGTAAGTTGTGAAGCCACAGCAGTTTTGTTCCTTTATTTAAATTCTGGGACAGCTCTAGCATTAAGCTTTTTCTGATATGGTTGTCATAACATAAAGCAAAGGAATGTACTGCTGAGGTAGGTGGAACTTTAAAAAAAAATCTCAGTATGTGAAATGCAAAGAGGAAACAAACAGCTTAGAGATAACTGCCTGCTTAACATTTGCTTGCTGCGAACAGAGACTGGAGTGCTTATGCTGACTGACACAAGCAGTTAGTGGATCCTCTTACTATTAAGGCTTGTTAATAAAGCCTGAAAGCTAACAAAGTAAAGGGCTTGGCTGCAATTGCTTCCCCTGCTGGGATAGTGACTGTGTGCAAAAACAAAGGGAACAGGACTGCTGTGGAGAACTGCTAGTAATTGAACTGGAAGGCTTAAACAAGTAGAAGAGTAGGGGACGAATGCAAGGTTGAGAGAATAATCTGTGTATAGCTATTGCCTGATTTGATGAATCTCTTGTTATATTATGCTTGAACATTTTCCTTGTTACTTTTTCCAATAACTTTGTGTTTACCAGCAGTGTATGTTCAATATGGATTTCTCTTTTGTCCATACCTTTTTTTTCTTGTAGCTTCTTTATAAAGTGTTCAAGACCCCTGTTACTGGAGCACATATACTACAAAACTGTGGTACATGAATGGAATTCATACCTCAAAGCAAGCTCATGTTTAATATAGCGTGTAAAGCTTTTAAAATCCACCTTGGTTGTCTTTAGCAGTGCTCCTGGCCAGGTTGTAGGTTGTCTGTAAACTGAAGTGCTTGTATACAATTACTTGTACATGCATTTAAATAGCGGCCTGAAACTTGATCAGTAATGATTAGCCCAAGTATTACCTCTAAACTGCAAGTAAATGAATGAAGCATTTTGACACCTCACTAATTATAATTGTATAAATATGATGGAAATATTATACACGTGTATTGTATAAGAAGTTTTGTCCACTTCGTGGTCGTTTTCCTCTTGCAGACCATTCATAGCACTTTTGGAGCAGAAGGAAGCAAAGCAGACAGCCATATTGCCAGTTAATAACTTTTAATGGAGCTCTGTTATTCCTTGTTAGGTTTGTGTTATTGACAAGTCCTTCAGGTGTTCTATTTACTATTGGTTTTGTTTTTAACTTCCTTCTGAGCTCTTCCCTCTCCTCTTCAATGCGGTAAAAACTGGACCAGACCTCTTGTGTGGGGGATGATGAGAGGATCAAATTGTAGACTTTAGTACCAGTGAATTAAGCTAGATAAAGACTTCTGGTAAGGAAAACATAAGGCAGCTTCTTGTAAGGAAAACACAAGACAGCTGTAATTCTGGGCTTGCTGAACCTGTCCTCAGAAGGAAACAATTAGGACTAAAATGCCTCCCTTATGCTGTTGAAGCTAAGAGATTTTGTGCAAGCTACTGCTGATTGTAACTGTTGGGACAGTCTGACCTATTGCATGTCACCATGGTCTCCATCTCCATCTGGGTTGTGAAGAGTTAAAATGTCACCAGACTGGGGCTGTGTGCTTTCTTCACAACTGGCACTCACAGAACTGGGCTGCTGGCTTGCACCAACAGGATGAACAGAAAAGAGTTGGTGTAAGTGCTCTTCTCTCCTATTCTACAGTAAACTTGCTCACTGCCTGTGTGATCGAGGTAGCATTTTAAGTTGTTTCTTGTGTCAGTTGAGTTCTCTGCAGCAGTTGTGTAGTTATATAAGCAGTACATAAGTTAATATTGTATGTGCTGCTCACAGAATCAATGAAGTCAATACATAAGTAGCTGTTATAAGCTTCTAAATACGTTGATCCTTCCTTATGTAGAGAAATCACAAGGGTAAGTTGATGCTGATTTATTTCTTACCAGCCTCTTTCTCAAATACTTGAGTCAAAGACAGCAAAATCTGATGGCTGGTGTCACAACAGCTGCTGATACGGAGCTTGAAATTCTGTCTAACTGTCCAAATAAACTGGCAGTGCTTTATTTTTTCAGTAAATATCTTACTGAATTTTAAGATTTGAAACAGTAATGCTACTGAAATCCTGTCAGGTGTGTTGGAGTCTTGTGAATAAGTTTTTATCCCTTTCCAAGTTGTCAGAGCTCTTCAGATACTTTAGTCATTTTAGATATTCATATCTGGTCACTTCTACCTAGTCTTAATGATGGCATGAGGACATCTCTGTGAGCACTAGATAGCAATCTCCTGGAAGAGTGGAGAAAGCCTGTGTATGCTTATGCTTCATTCAAATTGCGAAGGTGTGTGATGGTAAGCTTGAAGCCTGAGTGAGTCCCTCTGATAGTGTAATAACGTGATACGTTGTGAGCTTTTTTCAACATCCAAGAGTCTCCTTTTTCAGAATAAAACACGTTGCCCCCAGCCTGTGTCCCAATATGCAGATAATCCTGTTATAAATGAGTTCATCATCTGATGGCAGGTAACTCAAAGGGGAGGTATGAAGGCTCGCATTGCAGAGCTTTTTAAATAGCAGAATGCTGAGAATCACTTCATTTGTTGGTTGAATTTACTTCTCTTCTACTTTCTCTGAATTTTTTGGCCTGCTAGTTTTCGTATTAGTTGCTTGACTAGAAGTCAGTACAGGAATTAGATGAGTTAAGGTACGTAGGCTACTCTGACAGTAATGCCTCTTATTATTTTTCTGTGGAAACTGCAACAGATACAAAGAGCACAACAACACTTTGATGCAGCAAATTCTCAGCTACAAACCACTTTTTCAACATAGTCACTGCCATCACCTACGCATTTCCACCGGTGATGAACAAGAGCTTGCATGCTGAGGTCATAACCGTCTGCGCCTGTGGAAGTGACCCACAGTTGCCTCGGCTGAAACACAGCACCCAGCACCTCGCTGTGCTCACATCTGCTGTTTGGTCTCCATGAGTGTTCAGCAAACATCAGTGAATGTCAGTGGGTACCATTATTTCTGTATGGAAGAATTCAGTTCCACGCCTTTATATACCCTTCCATATTAGACTCCATTTGGTCAGACTGCCCCTGTGCTGCCATCTGTGGCACAGCAACAAAATGGATTGGGATACTGGTGGGAAGGTTCAGCCTATACTGCCGTACCACCGCTGTGTGTCTGCCGTCATGGGCCAACAGAACAAAATGGGAGGCATTAGTTTTGGAGCAGCCCTTATAGATGATGTGGTTTGTGCTGCTGGCCAAAACTACAGCAGGTGGAAATACCAGGTGCAGTGTGGGTGGGGGTGGCTGCATAATCCCCGAGGCACAGTTTGCAACAAAAATGACAGTACATTTTTACATAAGAAAAAAAAAATTGCAACAATACCAAGTGAATTGTTTTTAGGTGTGCTCACTATAACTTAACAATTGCTACGCTTGAGGAGATTTTTGACTGTTCATGACTCAGTAGAGGGCTTAGGGAAGTGAACTTCCAACTTTTCAACATATGGATATCCTGAAGTGCCTGGAGTGGGTTGTCTTTCTGGCAGTAAGATAATAACTAGCTTACAGTTCGTACGGATCACCATAATAAATTATAGGAAGGTGCACTGAAATCCTTGAGAACGCTTTTGAAAAAGCTCCTGATAACACTGAGGAAATGGAAAAGATTGTTTTATCTACACCGAAGAAATAATGTCTGTCTTCTGAAGTACAAAGTGTATTGATCCCATGAATTTTAAATGAAGTGACCTTGAAACTTAAACTCAGAGTGCTGTTCCTACAACCTCATACTCTCTTAAATATTTGTTGCTTCAGGACAAAGAGCAGGAAACTGGAACTTAACAAGAATAAAAGGATTTGAAGTAAGCCTTCCTTGATATTTCCTAATGTATACCACCTGCCTTTGTCTTTTGGGCCATAAATCCCTCTAAATAGTGCATGGATGGGTCTTGCACAGTCTAAGATACTTTGGTTCTCAAAATCTAACCAATACATGCTGTGCTGCCTTTACTATGAAGGTGATTGTGCTTAGACTAAATAAATACCTTCTTTTACTTTTCCATGGGTCTCTGAGAGCGTAACACATACTGCCAGGTAAAATGGAGTGAAAAACTCTAACGTCATTTAGGGTATTTTTTGTTTCTGAAAGACATTGGTAGAGAGTGAGCTGAAAATTTACTTTGCTTTCTGTTCAGCTCGTAACCGTATTATCCTTGTCTCCATGGGACAAATACAGAACTACTATGAGAAGATCTGCTTATTTTTAAGGATAACTTTATTTTCATCTTCTTTTTTATAGAAGTGACGGTGGTTTACCAAAATGGCTTACCTGTGATTTCTGTGAATCTTCCATCTCGGCGTGAACGTTGCCAGTTCACACTTAAACCTATCTCAGACTCCGTTGGTGTGTTCTTACAACAGCTGCAAGCAGAGGACCGAGGAATTGATCGGGTTGCGATCTATTCAGCAGGTACTCTTGTTTACAAACTAATTGATTTACTTGTCAGATATTTTTATCCAGCCTTTCCCTTCTTAAGTAAAAGCTTGATATGGTGTGGGTTCTCAAACGTTCCCGAGAAAGTGGAAACATCGTTTCTGGAGTAGGAATGTTCCACTGACTGACTCTGGTGTCAGGTCTGCCAAGAAAATCTGATTGTAGTGTGAAAGAGGAGGAAAATGTTTTTTAACGCTTAGCTTCAGCCTTGAAGATTCTCTCACAGTAAAGACATTTCTTTGTTGCATCTCTATTTGCTGTTTGAATGACTTAAAAACACATAGTGAATGTAGTGGTAGCCTGTGCTGCAAATTTACACCAACATACTGGGGGGATTTCTGTTTGAGGCAATTGATAACACAAAGTTTATATTCAGAATGCACGTTGCTATGTAACAAGGAAGTGAAAAAATTATAAGCCTGTGTTCACACTACTTATAGCACGTAAGCAGCTGCTGTAGGTGGTTTGTCTGAAAGCCTTAATTTTGCCAAGGTCCCATTTTTATCTCTATTAGGACTGATGTCCATATTTCAGGTGAGTTTCCAAGTGTTTAATCTGAAGGTGCAGGTTGCCTGTATAGAGTTGCTGATCAATTTGTAGGGTATTAGGTGTGAATGGTGGTACATGGGAATGAATTTCTTACTTATCTGCGAATGCTGTTGTGTTTCATTTAATGGCTTATTTCAGTATTTTGCTTAATTACTATGCATCTGTTAGCCATCAAAGCTCTGGGACATTATTAGCATGTCTTATGAGAGTCTATCCAAGTGGTTGGAAGTCCTGGCCCGAGAGAGGTGTTTATTAAGTTAATGAAGTCAAAACTGTCCAATACTGGAGATGGAAATAATCATCTGTAATGTCTGTGGGAAGGAGTGAAGGTCCCTTAAATGGATTGTATTGCTTAAGTTTGGTAAAACATTCAAGCTGTGGAGATGAAAGGAATTGCCTTTTATTGGAAAATATTACCAATTTAGAAAGCAGCTTCATCATAGCTCAGCTTGGTTTTGCCCTGCAAGTTCTCTTTGCCTGGCTCCGAAAGGTGTCGCCTGCAGGAAAATGTTGAAGTCTGACAGTCAGATATGAGATAGTGTTACAACTTGTTTGGGTCATTGTACTAATGAGTTGTCTATTTGCCTTACAGATGGCACCCGTGTTGCTTCCTCCACGGGCATAGATTTGCTTCTACTGGATGACTTCAAGCTGATCATCAATGACATCACATATCATGTCAGACCACCAAAGAGAGGTAAATCAGCCTGGTACTTATAAACTTCATAAAATCGTTTCATTAGTCAGTTGACAGTGAAAACAACTTAATGTGCAGGTTTGAGAATGTGAAGTATTTTTGAAGGAAACACTGTGGTTTGTAATCCTACCTGTGCAGTCTAATTTAGCTGTATCCAAGTAGTCATAAAGTAATGATGAAAAGCAAATGTTCATTCTGTTCAAGGCCGTTATTCTCCATAAGAGGAATAAATGAAGAAATGAAGGGAAAAGTAATCTGATAGTTTTAACTTACTCTGAGGTAGTTGAACACAAAATGAGAATTAGCCTGAAACTTACGTTAGCTGATTTAGAAGAATCATTCTCTTGTTTGACAGTGAGGATTGATACTTTAAATGTTGGAAATGAAAAATCAATTGTAGTGTGTTATTGTTCACAGTGTAGAAGTACTATCAAAAATTTTTAATTTTTTTCTGATGATTCAGGGATCTGTATGCTTAGCATGCAGGAACACCAATTTTGGGAGTGCAGCATTGGATGCGGTGCCAGTTCTTTCCTACGTGTGAGTTAGGCTGACCTCTGCTAGAGGTAGATTTTCTCCAGTCTCCTTAAAACCACTGTAAGAGAACTTTTCATGAAGACTTGGGTATTTAACTCACTTGTGGAACCACCCAAAGACTGTTGCTCTCTTCTCTCTCACCTCCTGTGCACTGTATCTTGGTTGTCGTGTTTTTGCACACGTTATAAGCCAGAGTAGTGGAGTGAGGATTTGAACAAGACATCTTTTCCAGCTGTTGTCCCAGGGCAAGCCAATTTGTATGTCCCACCCAGCTACTGCTGGAGAGAGCCAAGTCTGTGTCAGGGAGCTGATATCATCTTGGTTAACTCATTTTTATGGTATACCACAGTGTGTATTGGCAGGTTAGCTCAGGGATCACCTAGGTTACATGAAATTGCTGCCTCTGATTCATTTGCCTAGGAGATTTCTATAGTTAGCTTCTATTAAAATGATTGTGCCTGTAAATAGGCTCTGAGATTAGTTCTGTTCAACTTCTTAGATATTGCTTTTCCTTTTTAACACAATCACCCTGTTGTATATTGAAATGTAAATGCCAGGACAGAGTACCTTTAAATACTAAGGACCTCTTAATGATGACTTCGTAAGGTCACAAAGATTTTTTTCTTCACAGTGGTATAGAAGATGCTTAGATGGGAATGGTTGGTGTTTGCCTATGCCTACCATTTGCCTACCATTTGCCTTGGCACACACTGCTGAGTCATTTCTTTCTCTGGGTATGCTAGTGTTAAAGCTCAAGCTGCTAGGAGTCGAGACTCTTCCATTTGTTGTTCAGGTACAGCCCAAGTCTACCCGTCCCAGAATGTGTGTTGCTGCAAATTTTCTGTTAGTGTTGATAAAGTGATACTTAAGACAACTTAAGCCAAGGGTTGCTACAATTTTTTAGTATTTTGATTTTAATTGACTAATGTTGAGATTTTTTGCTTCGAACTTAGTTTTTCCGAATGGAGTATGTAATTCAGTACCACTAGTCACTTCTTTGTAAGCTGATTTCTTTTAGCAATCATTTTTGTATTGAAGTATAGGATTACGGACTGTTCCAGTTAGCAGCCATGTTGCTGTCTTAAATGTAGTGAGAGAGGCTTTTGTTACCCTTAAGCAGTTCAACGGTGGGTTTGTCCGCTGTGTGTTGGGAAACAGTTCCAGGCATCAGTACTTGAAGTAGTTATAAGACTGTGTGTTATGAGGCTGCTAACCTAAGATCAATGGCTGCCATTGCCAGTGAGTACAATTTGCAGTCTGAATTCTGGCTGTTTCTTGACAGCTGGTGCAGGGGATCGTACTAGTGGTTCATTTGTCTTTGAGTCTTGCATACAGGTATGGATCTAAAGCAGCTGTTGATCTCTAGCAAACTACTAGCATACATCTTCTTTGTGTTCTTCTCAAACTTCAGGAATATCCAATACTGAAGCCTAATTTACTTTTGAAGATGTTGCATTGTCTTAGTGTGCTGGAGTTCTTCCAGAAGCTTTTGTGTTGAAAAGATTGTTCCAAATGCTGCTTCTGCAGAATAATAGCAGTTTCTGAAGAGTGTGTAAGGAGTCCTGTGGATAAAAGCACATAAAGCAGTCTTTTTCTTTCCTAGAGCTCTTAAGCCATGAGAACGCGACCACGCTGAATGATGTCAAGACATTGGTTCAGCAGTTGTACACTGCCTTGTGCATCGAGGAGCACCAGCTGAACAAAGAGAAGGAGCTGATAGGGAGACTAGAGGAATTGAAGGAGCAGCTAGCACCACTAGAAAAAGTGAGAAACTTCTCATGGTATTTTACTTATCCTCCAAATGCATGCTTAATTTATTTCTGTTTTTATTAAGCCCTAGCATGCTTCAAATAGTTTTAAAATGACTGAAGGAAAATTTGCCACTTCATATACCAAACCACATCTGTTTCTGATATCTGCAGAAGTATTGTTTCCTTCCTCTATAAAAAGAAATGAACCTGTTAGTGCAGACTGGGGCTCTCGTTCAACAGAACATTTCTGAACACGGAGACAGAAGAACTCAGAGTAAAATAAGAGTGATTGCGAGATACTGGTAGAAAAGAAGTCTAAGGTTGTCTATGTAACATAGACTCAGTTATGTCACAACGTAGCATTAAATACAGATGTGTTATTTTTACATTATCTTCTAATGATATTAACTCTCTTTCTTTTTTACCCTGTTTTCGGCAGGTAAGGCTGGAGCTCAGCAGGAAAGCAGAGAAGAGGACAACCTTGGTGTTGTGGGGAGGGCTGGCCTACATGGCCACTCAGTTTGGGATTCTGGCCCGCCTCACCTGGTGGGAGTACTCTTGGGACATTATGGAACCAGTCACCTATTTCATCACCTATGGTAGTGCCATGGCAATGTATGCTTATTTCGTAATGACTCGCCAGGTAGGACTCGTTGTGCTGACATCGATGCTTCAATAGAAGACTTTATTTGAGCTCTACTCCCCAGGAAAATAGCAAAATCATACTCTCTGGAAGTTACTTTGCCTCTTCCTAACCCTATTGGAGTTTATGATGGGGCCTTTTCTGGTGCTGATCCTCATTCATTTCCTGGTTGTGTAATCATAAATGCTCATGTGCATCCTCTGACTGCTTCAGCTGTACAGGTTCATTCACTGACAGACAGCGGTTTCTGCATGCATGCACACACGCTGACTTGCACCAGGGCCTGTAAGTGTTGTGACTTACCAGCCCAAATAATCTGAGATACCTTAGGAATTTCAGGGAGGAACACATCTCTAACGTGAGTTGTCAAATTTTTCTGAAGAGACAAGAAAGGCTCAAAAATCATTTTAGAAATGCCTTTTGCTCAGGTGTCTCATAGATCTGGCCTCCTAACCAAATGAAACAGATACATTTGAATGCATGCTTCTTGGTGCAGTTCCAACTAACTGTCACTTCAGAGTCTGAACACATTTGCCCTTTTCACAGTATTTTTTTCAGGTACAGTTGTAACTTAACATACTGAGTTCAAATATGGTAGAAAACGTTGTCATCTGTATCAGCTAGTACTTATTTGCCAGACTTGAAATCTCATTGTTTCAAAAGTCTGAAAACAGCTTTTTTCTACCTGACAGCCTGATCATTGCATGCATGTCAGATGGAAGCTGTGTGATGCGCCAGTGCAAGGGAAAGTTAATTTCAACAGGCAGACTTGTGTTGAAGCTATGTGGGATTTGGTGTTGACAGCTCTGCTGCTTAGGATTATCTGTGCTCCAAAAAGTTGTGACTTCTTGCAGTAGAGTATCCCTAGAAAAACTGTGGTATTGAACTCTCCTGTTCTTGCCTTTCGTCCTTCTGATTCTTTCAGTGATTCTGCTGAAGAGAGGTGGACGAGTGACTGTGTGGGAGCCTAGCTACCAGCTAGGGTCACCCCACCTCACTGGCAGAGAGCTTAGTCAATGCAGTCTGGTTTTTGTGCCTTAACCATCTTCCAAAAACACATCTGATATGTACTGTACTAATAGTATCCCATGTTGTGATGCTTTATTCTTACCTTCTTTTTTTTTTTGTAGGAGTATGTTTATCCAGATGCAAGAGACAGACAGTACTTACTATTTTTCCATAAAGGAGCCAAAAAGTCACGATTTGATCTAGAGAAATACAATCAACTCAAAGATGCAATTGCTCAGGTAATAAGAGTTTTTTCCATAGATAAGGCAAATTACTGCTTGCGAGTTCATCTGCTATTAATAGATGCACCTCAAACAAGAATGGTTCTTAGGTTTTCAGCCTACTTTCTTGTCACAGCTCCAGTGCAATCACTGAATTAGCTTTGATGTGCCCAGGAATAGAACAGCTAGAAGTGTAAATCAACATGAAACAGTACCCTGTATCTGTCTGTAATGGCCTTTTTAGAGACTGCTAGCAAGTTTTGAGTTGCTTCAGGCACTTCATGCCTCGAAGGAGCCTAATTCCAAGAGTTGCTTTCTTCTCAGTTCCTACATACCAGATGGATTTAGTGAGGGCTGAAAACTTGCATCCATTCAGTTTGTTTCTCCCTCACAGCAATTCAGTGCACTGAATTGAAGACCTGGAAAATGCTGCTCAAGAAAGTTTTATTGTTAGAAGTGATGGCAAATTTCTTGTAGGGGAAGATACTTGCAGCAAGACTGTTCCCAGTGTGGGATCTGATAAACAGAAGAGTTGAGCAGAGATATTTCTCCTCATTTTTGAGAGACTTTCTATTAAAAGAAGGCATGAGCAGGAAAAGCAGAGCTACCGCTTTCTCTCTGCACTTTCTTATTCTTCTGTATCACTGTTTATTCTTGTGCTCTGGAAATGACAACGTAGGATATCCAAGGCAAGATGCATTATCCCTCTTTTTTTGGAGGAGAGCAGAGAGCTCTTTTGTGAAGAGCAGAGAAAGATCAGAGTAAGGCTGTGTGAAAGACTGAAGGTTTTCTTATACTAATTCAATACTGATAGTCTTAGCCATTGCCATTAATCTAGCTCTTTTTAAAACAAAAACAAAAGTTCAAGGGGATCAGTTCTTTCCCACCATATTCCTTCTGAAGTGGTTGTATGTTAGCAAGTTTGTAGAAATACAGTGCAAGAGTCGTGAACTGATAAAAAGGGTTTTCCCAGATCTGAGCCTGTGACTTGTTCTTCCCTTCCAGGCAGGAAAAATGAGAAAATACATAAATTATTTGCAATTTAGAAAGAGGAGTGGGGTTGGGGAAAGGTGTATTGGGAGCCCCTTCTTTATAATTTTTATTTTATTTTTAGGCAGAATTGGACCTTAAGAGGCTTCGAGATCCGCTGCAGGTTCACCTGCCCATCCAGCAAATTGATGAAAAGGACTGATCAGCAAAGAAGCTCTGAACTCTGGCAAAAAACCTGTTCATAGCTCTTGCCTTTTAAATTAAAGCATTGCAGGTGGAAGCTGGGAGGTGGTGTGTGGGTGGAGGGTTTTTGGTTGGCTTTTTTTTAACCTTTAATCAAGATAAAGGACTTAAGGAGAAATCTCTTAAATTTGAAGATGGGGCATTGTGGAATGTTAGTTCTGAAAAGGGCTTGGCAAATAGTCATATTTAAAACTGTGTGAATGGCAATTGTGTACAAATACAGGATTGGGGGGGGTTCATGAAAAGAATGTAATGCTGGGGTAGGGATGTCTTCTTCCAGCTCTGCAGAGTCTGCCTCTTGATAAGACACCAGCAGCCTGCTTAGCTTTTTAAAGTTTCCTTTACCTGATTCAGTTCTCTCTTTCTCTTTTAACAAAAAATAAAAGGGAAAAAAAAAAGAACAAAGAATCCACGCCACCTGGAGCTATGGCTGGTGATCAGATCTTGCACTCCACCGCCATTAACACGCACACTTCTGATCAGACCTGGTCTCTTTTATAAAGTCACTACAAGACTGCTTTCTACTGGAAAACCGTGAGCTTTCCCTCCCCAGCCCTGTCCCATGTGCTCCATTGACTTTCCTCCTTTGCTTATTTGTAGCACAGGCTGATTGTGAGCCAAGTGAGAGAAGGAACAAGTTCTCTTTTGGACATTTGATTAATTGGTATTTTGGAATATTCCATAATAACTATATAAACTTGTGTCCCAATGCCCTTGAGTTCCTTCTGGAAATAAATGGCAGCATTGCATGAGAGTTATAATATTCAGTCTTATGGGAGGGAGATTCACCTCTTCTTATACCAAATCTGATAGCCACCTGGACTACAAAATTATGAAGGCTTAAGGGATTATGAAATTGTCTCAGAATCATGACTCCTGCTTAGCTGAACAGTTTTGGAATGTGATATAATTAAACTTGATATTTGATTGTATAATGGAATGAAAGGTCTCATGGTCAAAGCATTTTCCTCACTCAAAGGCTTTTTGAAAGCCCAGGGCTCTTACAGTGTAAGACACATAACTGCTTCAGTTCTCCAGCACTTCCCCTACTTAAGTAGCTTTAAATGACCTTTGCACCCACAGGTCATGATTTCATAGGGTTGGCTCTCATTCTCTCATTCTTAGCTACATCTCTCATTCTTAGCTACAAGAAATGGAGGAAGGAAAATCAACCCATTGCCCTCTCTTCTAGCCAAGCAGATAGAACTCATCTTTATTGAAAGCCGGTCAGTCTCTTTAGAATCCTACTGATAAATACTGTGGAGACAGGATGAAGGTGGGAGAAAGGCACTAAGCTTTATATACAGAAAAGTTTGCTGCTTTTTTGAAATTTCACTACTGTTCCTCACTGTGTCCTGGAAAGAAGCTTCTGTTTTTGGTTGTTTCTTTTTTTTTTTTTTTTTTTTGAGAACTGTGTTTAAAAAAAAAAAGCCACAAAAGTCAAAGAGAAATCATGTTAAGCAGATGCCAGGTGCCTTGCAGATGTGGAAATACAGCTGGGATTGCTGCCTATTCTCACTCAATGGCATGTTGGACCGAATGGGTGCATGTTTCTAGTTTTTTTCTCCCTTCCCCCTTTCCTCTGTCTTTCAGTTTAATTATATTGTGAGATTATTTTTTATCTGTTATATCTTGTTTGTGTGATGAGTTTTAAAGGGGAAAAAAAATGAACACAATCCTGTAGCTGAATCCATGGTGTGTGTTTGGGATGAGGGGGAGGGAGCATGGAGAAAAGTCCTTCTTTAAGAAAACACAAAAAACACACACAAAAAAACCTGAAAATGTGTAAAATCCTGTATCATTTATGAAATATGTATAAAAGAGCAATGTACTTCTGGAACAATAAATAACTATTCAATTTTTGAATCGGTGCTCTTGAATAATATCACTTTCCCCAGATACTTATTGTATGTGTGGCAGCCATCTCCTGAGTTTCCTCCATTTCTTTTTGTTTAGGTGGTTTCTTCCTGACCTTAACATCACTGAGGCCACGTGGTGCAGATAATAGCTTTCCTGAAGAAGCTTGGATGGAGATCTTGCTGCCATATCTAGCTGCATAACACAGGGATTTCAAGAGCAATCGAGGTGGTGAGGTAGAAGTAGAGATGCTTGGTCTAACAAAGGTGGCTACCTTTATTTGACCAGCATAGTAGTTCCCTGTGGAGGTTGACAACATCTGTCTGGAGACATGTGACAGGTTGCAGAATAAGAACGTATATAACACCAGCAACCTAAAACATGCCAAGCATATTTCTATAGTGCATTCAAATGCTGTTTCAAAGGAAAGTTCAAGTTTTAAGCTCACATTCCTTCCCTACTGAGCCCTTCAATGGCTGTGATTAATCTAATTAGTCATGATGATGTATCTTTAATTCATTAACATTATGTATCAGCAGACTGTGTACTTAATGCTAACTTTATGGAATATTAGGATGAGATGTTCAGTGTCAGAAGATTTTTATCATGTCTGACTGTAAAATTTCATGATTGTCAACTTTTCCAACAGTGAAGTCTCTTGTCTGTTTTTTAAGTCAGAGATGAGGGACTAGAGGCTGTTAACGGTGGTAAGCTGCTTTTAAACACTGCTGAAATTTACTTCAGCAGTGCTGGCAAACCCTTTTCCTCCAAGCAGCTCAGAACAATTGTGTAAGAATGCTTCCATTTTCTCATCAAGAAGAACTGAAGGTTTTGACACTTAACACCAGAATCCCTATTTTTGAAAGCAAGAAAGCACTAGAAGGCTGTGCTGCCATTGAACAAGACCTTGACAGTCTGGAGAGTTGGGCAGAGTGGGGATTCAACAAGGGTAAATGTAGGTTCCTGCACGTGGGGAGGAATAACTGCATGCATCAGTCCAGGTTAGGGGCTGACTTGCTGGAGAGAAGCTCTGAGAAGAACAGAAGAACCTGAGTGTCTGGTGGACAACGGGTTGGCCCTGAGCCAGCAGTGTGTTTTTGTGGCCAAGATGGCCAGTGTAATCTAGGGAATGCATTAAGAAGAGTGTGGCCAGCAAGTTGAGGGAGGTGATCCTCCCTGTCTACTCTGCCCTGGTGAGGCTGCACCTGGAGCACTGTCTCCAATTCTGGGCCCTGTGGTTCAAAAAAGACAGGGATATTCAAAAGAGAGTCCAGCAGGGGGCCACAAAGATGATGAGGGGTCTGGAGCATCTCCCATATGAGGAAAGGCTGAGAGACCTGGGACTGTTCAATCAAAACTGGAAGATGTTACTGTCTATGTTTAGAAATATCTGATGTGCAGGAGACAAATGGATGGGGCCAGGCTTTTTTCAGTGATGTGTGGTGACAGAACAAGGAGCAGTGGGCAAAAACTGGAACACCAGAAGTTCCATACAAACATGGGAAAAATTATTTACTGTGAGAGTGACAGTACACTGGAACAGGCTGCCTGGATAGGCTGTGGAATCTCCTTCTCTGAGGATATTCAAGACCTGCCTGAATGCTTTCCTGTGCAGCCTGCTGTAGGGTAGCAGCGTGCTTTAGCAGCAGATTAGGCTCAGTGATCTCCAGACGACCCTTCTGACTCCTGTGATTTCTGGAGAAGCTGGCAGCCCATGTTTTGGATAGGTACACTCTTTGCTGGGTAAAAAATTAGCTGGATGACTGGGCTCAGAAAGTGGTGTTGAATGGAGTAAGTACCAGATGGCAACCAGTCACGAGTGGTCTTCCTCAGGGGTTGGTACTGGACCTGTCTGTTTGATATCTTTAGTGATGACCTGGATGAGGGCATTGAGTGCACCCTCTGTAAGTTTGCAGGTAACATCAAGTTGGCTGGAAGTGTTGATCTACCTTGGGGTAGGAAGACCCTACAGAGGGATCTGGACAGGCTGGATAGCTGGTCTGAGGCCAATGGGATGAGGTTCAACAAGACCAAGTGCCAGGTCCTGCACTTCGGCCACAGCAACCTTGGGCAACAGTAGAGGCTTGGGGTGGAGTGACTGGAAGTCTGTTTAGAGGAAACAGACCTGGGGGTATTGAACAAGGCTTGGCTGAACATGAGCAGCAGTGTGCCCAGGTGGCCAAGAAGGCCAGTGGCATCCTGACTTGTATCAGAAATGGTGCAGTCAGCAGGAGCAGGAGGCGATTGTGCCTCTGTACTCTGCTCTGGTGAGGCTGCACCTTGGGTGCTGTGTTCAGTGTTGGGCCCCTCGCTACAGGAAAGGCACGGAGGCCCTGCAGCACATTCGGAAAAGGGCAGCAAAGCTTTGAAGGGTCTGGAGCACAGGCCTTGCAGGGAGTGACTGAGGCAACTGGGATTTCTCAGTCTGGAGAAGAGGAGGTGCAGGGGAGACTTTATTGCCCTCTACAGCTATTTGAAAGGAGGTTGTGGTGAAGTGCAGGTCAACCTCTTCCATGTAGCTAGCAATAGTACAAGAGGGAATGTCCTCGAGTTGCACCGGGAGAGAATTCAGGTTGGATGTTAGGAAATACTACTTCTCTGAGAGGGTCATCAGATGCTGGAATGGGCTGCCCAGGGAGGTGAAGGAGTCACCATCCCTGGAGGTGTTCAAGAAACATTTAAATGTTGTACTGAGGGACATGGTTCAGTGGGAAAGATTGATGATTGATGGACTGATGGACTGGATGATCTTGGAGGTCCTTGCCAACCTTGGTTGTTCTGTGATTGTCTGGTTTGTTCCTGTCCCACTGACTCAATTTGAAGTGCAGACAGTGCCAGAATCTTAATGCAACATTGTGTTTTTAAGACCTCATGAAGTATAAACAGTAGCATCTACTGCAATGTTCTGATGCCTCTTTTTCTACCAGTTTTATTATTTGCTTTTAATCTCTCCTCTTGTTTTCTGTGAAGGACCTTTCAAATAAACAAGTTTAAAGTTGTCTGGAGAAATTTGAGATTCCCTTTTGTCATGTCAGCAAGGCTCCAGAGGAGGCGTTCCTGGCCTCTTTCTTGAAGAAGCACATTTTCTTTGACCCTGTAATTCTTCCACCTGGCAGGTAGTCATGGTAATAATCTCTTTGCTGCAACTTCTTACACTGATGTGGGTTGGTGTGTTGGCTGTTAGATCATTGTACTGCATCAGTCAAGTAAAGGTGGCCAAGCTTGCCTCACCTTTCTAAACTGGTGGAGCAGTTTATTTGATCTACTCTGTGGGTTTTTTTTTTGTGGAGCTGTAAATGTAAACTGCATTTCTGTGCCATGTTGTATGACTATTTAGTTTTCACATTAGGAGTAATTTTTGTTATATTTGAAGTATTTTTTTATCTGTTCCTATATTGCTCTTAAAATTGGTTTTATTTCTGTATTGACATAAAAAGGTGAGAAATAAAATACGGAACAGGAAACTAAACCCACGGTGTATTGAAACCCTAGACTATTGGAGAAGCTGGTTTGACACTGTGTCCCTGTGAGGTTGTAAAAGACGGATTCTGCTTCTGTTTCCGCCTCAGTTACGTAATTGGAGGTTTGCTGTCTGTCTGTATGGTAATTGAGAGTCATGGAAAAAAACACTGGGTATGGTAGGACTTTTGGAAAACGCTCTTTAACACCAAGCTGTACATCAGAGGCCTTAGAAAGGGAAGGCAGCTAACTGCTCTTATTCACTGGGAGTTGTATAAGTACACAACTAACGTGGCTTTTTAATATGGATTTTGTGATTTACATGTATTGAGTTTGCTCATATTTTGCCAAACTTGTGTTCGCTCTCTGATCTCAGCAGGCTTTCCCATTGGCACTGTGTCCTAGGACAAACTGTTTACAGAAACAACGGCTATCTCGAAGTCCTTGACATTACTGCAATCCATCTCAGCAGCCTGTCAGGGGTTATTGTGAACATACATCCTCAAATCAATTGCAGACAAGGGTGCCGTCACGTGTGTTTGAGCACTTCTTGCTCTTGGTGCAGGAAGTGCTGATTAGCTCTTCCTCCTGGCCCTTCTGGGCGGGCTGCAGAAGCTGCTCATACCCAGCAGCTTCTTGGCACACTACGCTTTCATCAAATATTGATGGCTGTGAAAAGGCTGGTCTCATCAAACACTGATGTCTTGATTCATTAGTCTATATCATACAGCATAAGACTTTCCAGCCCAGATCTTTTTTTGAAGAGAACAAGTTCCTTATGTAAGGACAGTGAAGCCCCACATCTCTGGGAGGGCTGAGAAATGCTGCCACCTGCACCATTTGCACCATTTATAACATTAAGAATAGACGTAGCTAAGCTTAGCAGTAAGACTGGGAACTCCCATCTGTTAGGTACCAAAACAAAATTCCAGCCCCCTTTTTAAGTATTGCCTTCCCTCTTCATGTCTTTTAACCTCCATGGATGACCAGTTTTTAGTAGTAGTATTTTGATTCTCATTCTTACTGCTGCTTGGGAAGTCAGGATTGCACATCTTTGGTGGGAGGAAATGGAAGTCAGAAAGAACAAATTTGTCAGGTCTGCCTAGAAAGTACAGGCTCTAGTGTACTCCACTGGATTACTTTTTGTCTCTTGGAGGGCCTATTTGCAACAGACTTTATTTCTCCCTCTGGAATAATTGCTCCAGCCCCCTGAGGCAGAGATTTGCAGTGTTCTGCTCCAGTACAGAATAGTGTTATTTGTGGTGGAATCAGGCCTATGCATATCACCTGAAGTAACTTGCAAAGCAAAAAAGAAAATGCTGATACTAGCGTTGCCTCAGCGGGTGCCTCTTCTAGAAGACACAGCCTGTCTTTTCTGTGGATCAAAAAGATGTTTAGAGGCAGCATGCTGCTTTCTTCAACTTTATACTGATTTCTTGTTCTAGGCACTTACAGTAATTCAGGTTAGAATTGTTTCCGACAGTGCTGGGGCATCTCCTAGCTTTAGTGCCTTATAGATTACTTAAAAGAGACTGTTTATAAGACTGTTG